CTTCTTTTTGGGCTGAAGATATTTTGACACGTGTGTGCTAGGGAAGCCCTGTGGTGTTGATTCCATTCCTTGTCCTTAGACTCCTTTTAAGGGCCTCATAGAACACAGCGCAAACCTGAAGTCACAGATGGCCCTGTTCTGTAAGACATTCTCATCCTGTTGGTAGCGCTTCCTCAGCACACATGAAGCCTGGATGCCAACCCCATAAATAGGCATGGTGGTACACACCTGTAATCCCAGCACTGAGATGCTTAGGACATCTTCAACTACATAATGAGTTCAAGGCCAGTCTGAGCTATGTGAGGCCCTACATTAAAACAAAACAACCCACACTTGGTTACACACCCTTCTTCCTAGCACTGTGAGGCAGAGGCAGAAGGATCTCTGAGTTCAAGGCCAGCCTGATCTATGTGGTGAATTCCAGCTCAGCCAAGGCTACATGTTGAGACCCTGTCTCAAAACCACAGCAACAACAACAAGAATGAAAACAAAACAAAAGCCCCTACACATAAAATAAAAGTCAATTTTAACAGAGAGAGAGACGGGGGTTAGAGAAGAGAGGTGACAGAGAAGACTCAGTAGGTAACACATTGAAGCATATGGACCTGAATTTGACACCCAGACTCCACACAGAGGCCAGGCAGATGCGAGGACTTGATGGTTGACCAGCCTTGCCAAATGGCAAGTTTCAGGTTTAGTGAGACACTCTCTCAAGAGGTAAGAGAGCAACCATAGGTGTGATCACCCACTTCATAAGGGGCACTGCCCCAGGAACAGGGACAGACCCATGCTCTGAGCTAAATCCTACTGCCCCATATCAGGGGCTCCCAAACACGTCCCTTGAGCCTCTGCAGTGGCTGCAGGGACAGCCCAATATTTCCCTCTTTGTTCCACAGAAAGGTCTTCCCTCAGGGAATTGGTCCCCAGAGACCCAGGTCTCCCTGCTTGGGAAATTAACACATCTGTCAGCAGTGGGCGGAAGGAACTCTACTCACAGCTTCAAAAACCCCAAGATATACTAGCCAGAACCCTAAGATGAGGTGCCCAGAAATGACAGGGACACCCAGGTCAGGGGTGGGCAAGCATTGGGTTCCTCTCCGACTGTCAACAGCAGTACATAACTGTGCCTGGGAGGTCTATGTGGAAGGAACAGGAATACCAGCTTAGTTTTGGGGCTTGCGCCTGTTATCCAGCAATTGGGAGGTGGAGGCAGGAGGACCAGGTGGCTAGCTCCCGCTACATAGTAAGTCTGAGGGTGGCCTGAGCCGCAGAAGAGCCTATCTAAAAAAGAAGAGAAAAATGGAGAAACTGAGGCGAGTGACTGTGAGAGTGGCTTTGACAGAGGGTCTAGGAAAGCCATCTGATAGGAGGGCGCCATCAGGTAGGGACAAGGGCAGCACAGCCAGCACAAAGGCCTGCAGAGGGAGGCTGAGGCTGGGGCTCCTAAACAAGCAATTTGCCCTGGGGGTGAGTGAGGGCTGCAGACAGTGGAGAACAGAGCACAGAGCATTACGGGATGGGTTATGTTGATCCATGATACTCAGATTTAGTGGCTGTGGTGGGGAGAGAGGTTTGGGGGACAGGAAGCCTGGGTAGCACCCAGCAGAACAACGTGTGGCCTGGACCACCAGGGCTGCAGGTTGGGAAAGATGAGACAAGCTTGAGTCCACAGCTGTGGACACCAGGTCTTAATCACCACCTTTGTTCCCTTCTTGCCCTTCACCTAGACCTGGAGTAAACTAAGACCCAAAGAGGGCGAGTCAGGGATTAGCAGCTTCTCCCCAGCCCTTCTGCTGGGAAATGGCTCACAGTCTCTACTACGATTGAGTACCTACTGTTTGCCCAAGCCACTCACACATGACCCACCTCACAGAAAAAGTCCGGCTACTGAGAGATGGGTCCTCCTAATCAGAGGAAGTGGGCTTCCCCTAGGGCCGGATGGAGCAGACTTGGGCTGAAGCGTGAGCCTGCCACAGTCCAAACTGGGAAATGGGCCTGCTATTGTTATCCAGATCAAAATCCAGATCCCAGACTGGGTAAGTTAGGGCACATACACATGTTCCTGGCAAAGGTGGTACATGCCTGTCACCCGAGTTCTGAGATGTAGAAGGATCAAGAGCTCAAGGCCATTCTTAGCTACACAGCAACTTTGAGCTAGCCTGAGACACTCGAGACAGTCTCAACAAACAACAACAAACCAGGAAGCCAGCCAGGTGCTGGTGGTGGCACACATCTTTAATCCCAGCACTTGGGAGGCAGAGACAGGTGGATCTCTGTGAGTTTGAGGCCAGCCTGGTCTACAAGAGTGAGTTCCAGGAAAGTCAAAGTTACACAGAGAAACCCTGTCTCAAAAAACCAATAAAATAAAACCCCAGGAAATCAAGTTTGGGCTCAACTTGCCTTGCCATGGTCACAAAGGCAGACAGAGCTCAGAGAAGGGCAAAGTGGGGATCCAAAGTGGGGATGGGTGTCCCCACCTGGTCTTAGGATCCTCTCCTTTGAGATCATAAGCTGGGCAGGCCGCTGTCACCCCAACACTGAGGAAGTGGAAGCAGGAGGATCAGGAGTTCAAGGCTGGCCTGGGCAACATGACACCCTGGCTCAGAAGACAAATTTCTTGTGCTGGGAAGATGCTCAGTGGCTCAGAGTACTCACTGCTCTTGCAGAGGACTCAAGTTCGGTTCCCAGCACCCATAGCAAGTGGCTTACAACCTCAGCTCATCAGTGCCCTCTCCATGCCCTGTATATAATAGTTAAAATACTAAAAAAAATAAATCTTTAAAACAGTAAAAAGAGAAAAATCCAAACCAGCATTCAGTCTGCCCCTGGCTTTAAGTATCTCAAAATTCTGTCCCCTTCAGGATAAGTTTTGTGCTTCTCTAGGTGGGTGACAGATCCAGTGTGGAGGAGCAAGCCTGACTTTGCAGAGGTTCCTGCAAACTTTGCAAGCAAACCAAAACCACCGACCCTTCTAAACTGAAGCAGGTGCCCCACACCACCTCCAGTGCCTGGTACAGAACTCGCACTCATTCCTCGGCGACCTCCCCAGATCCTCACTGGTGAGTCAAGCACTCTCCCCAATCCCGACACACTGTGGGCTCTTTTGAACCTGGGTTTGTTCACAACAACATCCAGATTTCCTGTCCTTAATCCTACAGGACCACAGTCCTCAACTTTTACAGTAAGAACTTCAAGGCAAGCAGGAGGAGGCCTAGACTGTGTCTGACCTCTGTTGGCATCTAGGGCTAGGGCCAGGCAGAGACCAGGCAGGGGCCAGGATCACTGGCATCTACTTCTCTGGACGGAGACTGAGAGGCAGGGGGTAGGTCAGGACCGTAAAAGGGACACTGTCTCAGACATCCGTGAGTTGTTCCCAATGCCATTTCCAAGGAAGACAGGCATGTGGCAAGGGGTGAGCCCTTCATCTTGTCTTCTGTGCCCATGTGCATGCCCGAAGGAAAACGTGCGCAATGGATGTCGAGTGGTGTGCACCCTTAGAGAGGTCCTCAGTGACACGACCTCATCAGCACCAACCCTCACCAAATTTCAAACACAGCCTCAAGTAGAGACACACCTGTGATCCCACAGTTTGGAAACTGAGGTAGAAGGATTGATGAAAGCTCGAGGCTAGCCTGGGCTACATACAGAGACCTTATCTCAACTTCTCAACCCTCCTTCTACCTCACACAAAGAAAACCACAAATACATTTTAAACTTTGAATTTGTAGGTGTTTTGTTGAGTATTTAGAGCTTCATTACCATGGCCAACATGTATTTCCCTTGAAACATTGCGAACAAATACTACTAGGAGTGCAGCCTTTTAATCTTTACTAGTTATTGTGAGATTGCTGTGTAAGTTAATACACACATTGTAAATACATTGTTTGCAGGGAAAACATTTTGAGTTCTAGCTCAGAAGAAGCTTACTGAGTTTATGTTGTAAGCATTACTTAACACAGTATAAAGATGAAAGACAACAAAAATAACTTCATACTTCCTCACCTCCTCATTGCAACAAAATCCTTAACTGGGAAAACCTGACTCCCTCTCTTCCTTTTCCTCCTCTTTCTCTCAATTACTGCCACCTTGTAATACTTGGAGAGCACTTGGATTATGGATCTGAATAGAGAAATACTTTGAGATAATCATTAGCCCACATACCCTGTAACGTATACTCAAATATGGGATGGAGTTGTAAAGTGCTTTTATAATACATGTTATTGTTAAAAGCAAGGATTGACTCTTTTGTTTTATTTTGACATGGCATGTCCTGAAATAAATATCAATTCAATATGAAAAAAAAAGAAAACCACAAATACAGCCACCACTAGATAAACATCTAGTGATCATGGCACTTGGGAGAACAAAGACAGATTGCCATGAGTTCTGGGTTAGCACGGACTACAAATGTGTCTTTTTTCTTTTTCTTCTCTTTTCTTTCTTTCTTTTCTTTTCTTTTTTTGTCAAGGTCTCACTATATAGCTTTGTCTGGCTTAGGGTTCACTATGTAGCCCAGGCTGGTCTGGAAAGCTCTGTTTCTGCCTTACTGGGATTAAAGACATGCACCACCAAGCATGGATACAGAGACTTCTAGGCCACCCTGGGCTATAGAGTGAGACCCTCTCTCAAACTCCCAAAAGAACCCTCAAACAATGGAGTGTGGTCACACTTGAAATCCCAGCACTAAGACAGCTGGGGAAGGAGGGTTTGAGGCTGGCTTGAGCTACATATTGAATTCCAGAGTAGTCTGAACTATAGAGTAAGACCCTATTTCAAACTCCCTCCTCTCAAGGTGAAGAAACCTCCAACAGTTGAGTGTGGTCTCACGCTTGTGATCCCAACACTCTAGAGACTGAGGCAGAAGGACTTCTGTGAGTTTGAGACAGACTAGCTTGGTCTAGAAGGAGACCCTACTCAGCAAACATTCCTGAAACCCAGTGCCCCCCAGCCTGCCATCCGTCAGACACCTCATGCACACAAACACCACCTTCTGTACCCACCCGTGCCCCGGAGCCGTGCACACCTCTGCAGTCCCGGGAGTCCGTCCGCGGCCGCACCTGCTGTGCCTGCAAGTCCAGGCGTCTACTGCTGCCCATACACTGAGCTCTGATCCCAGCGGCCTGGGTGCCTTCCCGCGCAGTCCCGCCCCTAAGAGGTGATTGGATGGAGGTGGTGCCCTCATTTGCGAGGGGCAGATGCTTGAGAGAGTCCTGCCTCCTAAGCCCTTGAATTCAGAGAAGATGCTGGGTTCCAAAGTAAGCAGGTATAGAGAAGCAGGGCTTGGAGGTGCATGCCTGTCATCCCAGTATCTGGGAGGCAGAGGCAGGTGGATCTCTGTGAGTTCGAGGTCAGCCTGGTCTACAGAGAGAGTCCCAGGACAGTCAGGGCTATAGAGAAACCCTGTCTGGAAAAAAAAAAATAAAACAAAACACCACCAACAATAAAATAAAGACGGATTTGGAGAAACGACTCAGTTTCTCCATTGAGAGAACTGACTGCTCTTCCAGAGGACTGGAGTTTAATTCTCAGTACCCACATAGCAGCTAACAACTGTAACTCCAAAGTCTGACACCCTTATGCAGACATACATGCAGGCAAAACATCAATGCATATAGAATAAAAATAAATTATTGAAAAAAAGAAAGAAAAAGAAAAACTGGGCTGGGGGAGCAGCTGAAACTACTAAGCATGGTGCACAGACAGAATTCAACCCCAAGAACTTGAATGGTGGAATCTTTCCCACACTGTGGCACACACTGCCCCCCATGTATGCATGCAGATAAATATAATTTTAAAATATAATCGTTTTTAAAAGGCAAGGCTTTTTTTTTTCTGCTTGAGGACTCAGTGCTACTGAACCTCATTGTGAGCCTGACCTTAATTTGTACCTTGTTCAGAACTCTGCCACTGTTAGTCCAGACCATGTACCTTAACAGGACTGAGGTTTGGTGACATAGCCTGCCCTCCCAGTAACCCCAGCTAGCTGGACTATGCTAAGTTTCTGGGTCCTGGGCAATTTTGAGACTCTGCCTCCAAATAAAGAAAGCCGGGCACAAGGCTTTAATCTCAACACTCAGGAGGCAGAGACAGGCAGATAGATCTCTGTGAGTTTGAAGCCAGCCTAGTCTACAAAGCAAGTTCCAGAACAAGCTCTAAAGCTACAGAGAAAACCTGTCCCACCCCCCCACCCCCGCAAAAAAAAGTTGGACCTGGTGGCTCAAGTCCATAAGCCAGGAAGAGAGTGAGTCTAAGGCCAGTGGGGACTTGGTAACACCCTGACTCAAAACGAACATATAAATAATGTGGTAGACTGCTTGCCTAGCATACAGGAAGCTCCCTTCCATCTCTAACACTGAAAGAGAAAAGAAAAACCAATAAACCAATGTCAGTGTAATCTTAGGATTAAAGAGGCAGAGACAAGACAACTGCTTCAAGTTCCAGGACAGCCTAGGCTGCTGATTGAGACTGTCCAATAAATACATAAAAGAATTCCTAGCCGGGCAGGTGGCACACACCTTTAATCCCAGCACTCAGGAGGCAGAGGCAGGCAGATCTCTGAGTTTGAGGCCCGTGTGGTCTACAGAGTGAGTTCCAGGACAAGCTCCAAAGCTACAGAGAAACCCTGTCTTAAAAAAAAAAAAAAAAAAAGAATTTCTTAGAGTCCTGATTCTGCTAGCAAATGGACCAAGTCAGCCTCCTGTCCTTCTAAAATCATGTACTTCCACTGGACCCTGCTCACTTTACTGCCTTACCCTGTCCTCTGCTGGCCTTCTACCACCATGCTCCTGTCTCACTTCACCTCTGTGTTTGCAGAGCATCGAAGGAAAAAAATTACAGGGTCAGAGGCCAGGGACAAAGCTGGCTGGGGATAAAGAGGGTAGAATTCCCACATGGGACCCCTCCCAACTCTTTGGAGGTGGAGCCCGGCCAATGGGAACAATGGGAGGTCAGACCAGAATTGTGGAGGAGGGCAACACCAGAAGGATGAGGGACATTTGCAGTGCTTTCCAATGAGTAGTTTGTCCCTGAGTGAGACTCGGGAGTGTGGGGCAGGAGTATGGCTGCCTGGGTGGCCTCTGCCTTCTTCCACGTCTGTGAAATTGGAACCCTATAGTTTCGGCACAACTTCCCAGACTCCCGACCGTGTAACCCAGGCTCAGGGCAGTCTTCTTGCCTGACACTTTAAGCGTTTGGATGACAGCAGTGAACCACTTCCCACAGCTGCAAACTTTCTCTTCAGACTCAAAACCGAAAAGTTTGTGCCGTGCTGTAGGTGAGTCCCTTGCCCTAGCCCAGTTCTCACTCCACACGCACAGGTGTCCTCAGGACACACCAAGATCCGAGCCAGCCTGGGGGCTTCTGGCTGGGTTCCAAGATGAAGAACAAGGCTCCTGTAGATGAAGGAGCCTGGGGAGCCCCGGCCCCCGGGGCCCCGCTGTTTACCCGGCCACCTCCCCCTGGCTCTGATGCAACCTACGGGCTCTGGTTACGTGAGGGCGTGAGGGCTGCAGCTGCAGCAGGGCCGGGGGGGGGGGGGGGCACCCGCCCACACAAAAGGCCACGCTCCGACCCACAGAATCTTGCTCCCTGCCCTGGATCCTTTCAGTCCCATCACTTTCAGTGTCCCTAGAGGGACTAGAGAAGTTACTACCTCTGGCTATTCAGGTGAGGGACACATGAGTGGCTGGAGCAAGGGACGAGGAGGTCTGAAAGCCAAGGCTCTTTGCTTCTTGAATTTTTGTTTTCTCCCTTTCTGTCTCTCTCTTCAAACTACTTATGTAATAACAACAAACCCTGAGCCGAACTGGTAATAAATGCTTTTTTTTTTTCTCCCGGTTTTTCAAGACAGGGTTTGTCTGTGTAGTTTGGAGCCTGTCATGGAACTCGCTCTGTACACCAGGTTGGCCTGTCTCTGCCTCCCTAGTGCTGGGATTCAAGGCATGTGCTACCACCATTGGGCAAAGGACAAGGTCTTAAACTCATGACTAACCTATGTTACATAACAAGAACCTGTCTAAAAGGAAATAAATTCAAGATCTGTGAGATATTCAGTGGATAAAGGTACTAGCTGCCAGCCCAGGTGACCCAAGTTTGATTCCCATGTCCTCTGATCTCCACATTTACTCATGTGCCATGATACTGTGTCCCCTCAGTAAAATAAATGTAAAAGAAAAGTTTTACAAGTCATAAACACGGGCCACTGTGGGTCCCTTTCCAGCCCCTGCGGATCTGGAGAAGCCTATTCAAGGTCAGACCCTGCCGGATTAGTCCTAGTCAGGTGACTGGCAGGCTTTCAGAATGCCCCACTGCACAGGAAGATCACCGTCTGTCTCCAAGTTAAGAATGAGGTGGGGAGGGGAGGCTGTGAATTTTGGTTGGAGCAGTGTGGGGACAGATGTACGGCTTGATGAGTGCCCTGTTCCCTTGGAAGCTCAGTTCACTCGGACCAGAAGCCTGTCAGGTCTGAGTGGGCAGGACTGTGCACCCAGACCACTGTTCTGCTCTTGGGGGAGACGCAAATGAGATGTAAACTAACTGTGGCCCTGGGGGGTCTGGGCAACAGGTCCTGCTCTGGGACCTCTGAAAGATAATAGCTGCCAGCTGAGGGGGCACCCAAGGGCTGGGGTGTTAAGGAGCCCTGGAGGTGTGCCTCCTAAAGTTCAGTGCACCCAGTTGTTTCAGTGGCTGAATCCTGGGATATTTTTTACATTTACTACCTATTTACATGCGTGTATCTATGGAAGCACAATTGTGTAGGTGTTGGGGTTACAAGCTTTGGCGACATGCCTGGCTTTTCTGATGTGGGTTCTGGTAGCTGAACTCAGGTTCTCACAGCTGAGGCAAGTACTTAGCTGACCGAGCCCTCTCCCCAGCCCTCCTGACATGGTTTACCATGTCTTGCATGGGCAGAGCTGTGGTAATGTGCTCCTGTTCCACCTGCTACAACTTTGGCTATTTTTTCGGTTGGAGTTTGTGGGGTTTTGTTAGCTTGTTTAGTGCGTGTATGTGATTCGGGGGAACCTAGGGCCCTGTTGTAGGACAGACATGCACCCTGCCTCATCAGGACCCAGGAGATGGGAGCTAGTGGCCAAGTCAGGGTCTCAGGTCCTGCCCTGGATGGAGGTGGGAGACAATTATCCAGTGGCTCCTAAGAGGTCCGACAGGGAGATGTGTTCACCTCAATCTCAAAGGAGCCAGCACCCAGTCCTGTATCATTTGTCAGAAGCAGGGTCAGGGTCTGGTCATGTGACCCCAGCATGGAAGAACAACTTCTGAACATTCATGTATGCACACCAAGATTGCCCTGGGGTGCTACTGGAATAGTGAGCCTAGTTCATGGCCAAGGGGAGCAATTACGGCTGAGCCAGGAGGTCCTGTTGAGTTCTCAGTGTGATGTTCAGGGGTCTGCTTCTGCAAGGACCAGAAGGGGGGTGGGGGAGCTAAGGGTGGGAAGGCCAGGACTCGAACACTGATGCCTGAAGGTAGGGGCAGTGCCTGGGGCGAGCTATCTCACCATCAAGCCAGTTTCTTCTTGTATGAGATTGTGTTGAGGGTCTTGGGTCTGGACAGGCAGTGAGGATCTGAACCCATGAAGGCCACCGGTAACCTGGGAGAGTGGCTTTGGAGCTCAGAGGGCTGCTAATCCCAGGGAGGTGAAGAAGTCTGAAGAGATGAAGTTGGGATCCAGAGCCCAGGATGCCATGAGGTGAGCAGGGCAGGAGACACATGACTCAGGTGCCCAGGCGTGGGCTGGGTACAGGGCAGGTGTGCACCAGTGCCGACAGGATCAGTGCACACACCAGGGAGCCCTTCTAGCTTAGGGTCCTTCCAGGTGCTCAAGTGAAGAACTGCCCATCTCCTGTGGTGGGATAACAGCTGGTGAGCGATACCGAGCAAGCTGAGGCTTGCCACTGAATGCCCACTGACCGGTGCCCAGTAGTTCTTGCTACCCAAAGAGCTGAGAAACTTGCAGTGTACAAGTGAGATGCTTAATTAATGCTTGATGACGTCATCACCCAGTAAGTGCTGACTGTACCATCCAGGAGAACACTCTGTGCCTCTGGGCTGTGAGCCAGTCTATACACACTCTCTGCCTTCACAGCACCAGTGGGACACATGGATGAGCCCCTCTGTCTGACCCCCTCCCCAACACAGCAACAGACAAAGGCCAGAGGAAGCACCCAACTCTCTGCAGCCTGAAGCAGCATCAGGGGCTGGTCAGTTTATAGTATTGTAAGGGTTAGGACTGTGGATGCTTTTCTCTTGCATGGACACAGTTTCACAATGTATACCATCACCGACCACATGGCCTCAGCTGGACAAGCCATGTTTACATGAGGAAAAAGCTGAAGACCAGAGAAGTGAGGATGCGGCCTCAAGGTCACACAGCAGCTGAGTGGTTGGGGGCACAGGAGCCAGGCCTCTGCCTAAGGGAGGAAGATGAAGCAACAAGAGGCCTGAGCAACAGATTCATCAGAGTGAGAGACCCCCCCCCCCCCAAACCACCCCCGAAGAGCAGTCAGAAAGCCCAACAGTTAGACAGCAGGCTGCAGGGACACAAAGAAATGGGTTAGCTCAGTAGAGTGGCAGCCTCTACACTGACCTGGGTGGGGAAGTCGGTGGCCCTGAGAGTTTTGCAGGATCAGGGTCAGGCCACAGTAGGAGGGGATGGTTTCTCTTGGCTGGAACAAACATTTGGAATGCATAAGACTGATGCCACAGATTGGGAGACAACTCAGTCTAGTTGACTAGGGGTTGGAGTCACACCCTGGACCTTGAAGGCCATGGTCTGAGCTTTTGGTCTTCTATAAGGGTAGAATCAGAACCTACTTCAGAAGCCAGGCCAAGCTGATTGGATGGATAGGGTGCAACCCAGATGCAGCATGGTGAGGAGGGGTCTGTGCTGCTGCTCCTGTCATTCCAGCAACAGACCAGAGTCGGCGGAGTCAGGTGAAGACTGGCTGAGGCTGGTGCGGCTCAGCTATGAGTTTATTGAGTTATAATCAACACAGAAAATCTAAGGATGGTAGGTGCTTGTCATCTCCCTGGGCTTCAGCTGGAGACAGCCCCCACCAGCACAGCTTCCCACTAAATCATTCCCCATGCTCTCGCCCTGGGCAAGAGTGCCAGTGTCAGGGCCTTGCTCTGTTCACTTTCCTGGGGATGCTGCTTGCCCACACACTTCCTCTGCCCTGTTTCTTGGTCACTGTCCCTGTGTGCCTGTCAACCAGCTCCTCTTGTGCCACAGATGACAAAGAACACCTGCACAGCTCGCTGGTTAGGGTGCTGACAGGGGCAGTGGCTGGGCTACCTGTGGCCCTGGGCGCTGGTGTTCATGTGGTCCCGGATACTGATGGCCTGTTTGAGCAGGCCTTCGACACTACGGAAGTACACACTGCTGTCCACCAGGCTCTTCACAGCACTGAAACAGAAAGGAGTGAGGATCAGCATCAAGGTCACCAGGAATGTCCCGATCCTGACCAGAGCAGCAGCCTCTTAGTGGGGAGCTGCAAAATGTGGGCTCAGCCTTCAACACTGCTAACTATGAACAATTAAAAAGGGTTTCATGTCTGTAAAGGAAACAATCTAAATCCGAGACAACTCAGCCCAGCGACTGCCGTGGGCGCCTCTCAGCCCAGGGACTGCTGTAGGTACTGCTTTACAGGGGTGGAACTGCTCTTGATCTAGTGTTTAAAAGGTGGCTGGCTGTGTAACTCTGCTTTTAGGATTTGAAGTGTATAGATGAGGCATGCCTGTGTTCCAGGACTCGAGGAAGCTGAGGCAGGAAGATCCCAAGTTTGAAGCTAGCCTGGACTGTAAAGAAAGACCCTATATTTCTTTAAGGAGGGGCTGCATCTGCAGCAGTAGCAGGTGGAGGTCAGAGAACAGCCTGCAGGAGTCAGTCCTGATCCATAAGTAGTCAGGTTTGGCGCGGGTGCCCTGTCACCAGCCCACATCCTTCCTGGGAGCAGCAGAGTGATCTGTTTGAAGGGTTTTATCACTCTCATGTCTGGCAAATCCCACAGAATTTTTGATGAGGGGATTAAGTCCTCATTAAGAGTTCATGAAAGGCACAGGCAATCAAGGTGTGCACAGCAAAAGCAGCCAGCTGTCTGAGACCTTGCTTAACAGAAGCAGTGAGACACTGGAGTGGGTGAGTGGCCGCACAGTAGGCAAAACACGGGGACAGTGGCTTAAAAGAACTGACCTGCCACTGAGGTGGCCCAAGAATTCAGAGAAGAGCCAGGTGTTGTGGCGCATGCCTTTAATCCCAGCACTTGTGAGACAGAGGCAGGAGGATTTCTGAGTTTGAGGCCAGCCTGGTCTACAGAGTGAGTTCCAAGACAGTCAGGGCTACATAGTGAGATCCTGCAGAGAAGACGACTTAGGCTTTTGGACAGCCCAGTGGGCATAGAGACTCAAGGCCATACTCACAGAGCCAAATACGAGTCCTCAAACCTGGAGAAGGAATGAAATTTATGTCCTGGCAATGCTGAAGACATGGCACACACACACACACACACACACACACACACACACACACACTCAGGTGTGAGCAAAAGTCATGTGCAAACTGACCTCAGCTCCTGGGAAGGTGGAGGCAGGACTGCTTAATCCTGGATATTCAAGATCAGCCATGCTCACTCAGCACTGCTGCCTGGGTTCTGCATGGAGGGTACACATGCACAGGGTACAAGGCAGCCGTGACTCCCCTTAGCTGTGGTCCAGCCTCAGCTGGGAGGGAGCTGATTTTTGTGTTGGTATGGTTGTGTGTGCATATGTGTTCGTGGGTGTTTGCATGTGTGTGGAGGACAGAGGCCAACACTGGGCATGTTCATCAGTTGTTCTCCACCTTAGTTTCAGGCAGGCCGACTATCAGCAGAGTCACTAACCTGAGACAACAGTCTCTCAGGGAACTAGGAACTTGGTGATGGCACAGGTTGCCTAGGGGAGCTCCAGGCATGCTCCTGCCTCCACCCTCTCGGAGCTGGACTTACTGATGCTCATCATCTGTCAACAAGGGCACTTCAGATGCAAGTTGTGGATAAAAGCACTTTATCCAGCGAGCCACCCACCCCCACCCCAAGTCAGAGGCAAACAGTCAGGTCCCCAAACTCCCCAACAACTGTGAGAAACCCAACAGAGATGTATGTCATGGCTATACCACAATGGGGGGATGGGGATTGGGAATCTATGTCACTCTGCCCTCTCAGAGATGTAGCAGGGTGTCTCACCTGCAGGCATACTCCACGGTGTATATAGCACCCTGGCTCTGCTCCTCCCATCTCTGCATGTCAGCCTGCAGGATTGGGGAGTGTTAGGAGGGAAGGCTCTATGGGAATCAGTGTTAGATGTCAGATCCTCTCTGAGCTTCCCATTCCCCAAGCTCTACTAAGTCCTCCACTCCCCGACCTGAGTGCTCCACCACCCCACCTGATTTCTTTACTTCCCCACCCGAGTCCTCCACTCCCCACCTGAGTCCTCCACTCCCCACCTATTTTGACTTCAGCCCTTCACACGTGTACCCCACTTCTGCTCAGGGGCTATGAGAGACCCTTGGCGGGGCTGGCAGAGCTCACCTTGTGCTGGGCCAGCTCCGGCAGTGAGCGGCGCACATGTTCCTGTAGCCGGTACAAAGCCACTGACGGCTCGTTGGCCAGGACATAGACACTTTCGGTGAACTTGTCTGTTACTGGGTTTGACAAGGTGGGAATGGGAATAAGGGACAAGTATTAGACCCTTATATTTATTTTATTTTGAATTATATGTATGTATCAATGTGAACATATACATGTAAGTGCAGTGCCATGGAGGTCATAAGAGCTGGAGCTACAGGCGGCTGTGAGCTGCACAATATGAATGCTGGGAACCAAAGTCCAGCCATTTGTAAGATCACTAAGTGCTCTTAACTACCGAGATATCTTCTTCTTCTTCTTTCTTTTAAACAGGGTCTCATATAGTACAGGCCTGACTTTAGCTTTCTGTAACCAAGGATGACCTTAACTCCCAATCCTCCTGAGTGCTGGGACTGCAGATGTGTGACACCACACCTGGTTTATGTGGTGCTAGGCAACACTGCCAACTGACCCCAGCCCACATTAGACTCTCAGTTCTTCAGTATCTGACCCCAATTGGAGTGCACCCCTGTAACTGTCATCCACAGGCCCAGGTCAGCTAGAGACTCAGGGGGACATGAGCACATTCTGAGACCACAGCCCCACTCCCGCAAATCCACTTCCAGGGAACACTAGGGAACAGTACTATTGCCACTGAAAACCCTCAACATAAACATCATACTAGAGACCAGTATGGAACGTCATACTAGAATCCAGTAGCTCTGAATTCCCTGTAACTCACTGTGTAGACCAGGCTGTCCTCAAACTCACACCAATCCTCCTGCCTCTGCCTCTCAAGTGCTGGGAAGAGAAGCATGCATGCACTACGATGCCCAGCTGAGCAGAGGATAACCACTGAACCCAAAGATGCCTAAAGTCCATATCCTATGTGACCTGTACTCTGACCAAGACAGGAATATTGTAAAAGCCTACATCTCTTGCTGTGCTGAAACAACTCTGAGGTTACCCCATCACAAGCCCTGCCTTAGCAGCATACCTACTGAGGCTGCCCTCTACAGAATCCATCCAACTGCCTGCTAAATTCACCTGCTTTCATTTCCCTAAAACTCATGTCTCCCCACGTCAACTGCACATAAACCATCATCCCAGGGTTACTTTCCAACCTTCCTGCCCCACACAGCCTGTACCAGACCAGCTCTGACAAGTCCCAGCTACAGGCAGCAGATGGCGCCAACTCCCAAGGCAAAAACGACGTCGGCCCCGCCTTTATTACCACCCAGGGCTCCCATTACCTGAAAACAACCTACTTATCCTGTCTTTATTTATTTTGCTGTGCCGGGGATCAAACCCAGAGCCTTGAACATTCTGGGCAAAGTGCTCATGGCTATGTTTGGGTTAAGGCTTCACCCCACCACCCAAAATGACTGAGTACTTGAGACGGAGTCACTCTATGATTAAACTGGCCTTCAATCAGTAATCCCGCTTCTTGACTCTTGAGTAAAGATTAGAGTATAGTGTCACCAAACCCGCACACTCGTTCACGTGTTCACAGGATAAAAAAAAAAAGTGCGCTTGGTGTGCGCACTTTTAATTTCAGCTCTCAGGAGGCAGAGGTGGTAGAGGTCAGCCTGGTCTACATAGCGAGTTTTCCAAGACAGTCAGGAGCTACATACTGAGACCTTGTCTTAGAAACAAAAAACAGCCTTCCTCTGCCCCCGGTCTCTACTACACGGCTGCCACATCACCTCCCGCCAGGAGACAGTGTACTCCCTTTTCTGCCGAGCCCCTCACTGCCTTCTCCAGGCTGCGACTGGGCGACTCCCGGAGCCCTCCAATCCGCCCGGGGCCCCGCAAAACCTTTCTTTCCCTTCAGCAGCATCTCTGGTTCTTCCATAGCGAAGGCAGCCAGGCGGAGCCCTAAAACGGAAGCGGAAGTTGGGAGACTGGGAGGTCTACCTAAACTTTCCGGGTTGAAACAGGTCGTGGTAAGCCTCCGGTTCTGGTGTCGGGCTCGCTGATCCCTCTTCGCTCCAGGAGAGAGAGGGAAAGAAGGCGATCTGGGCCGTGCGTGTGTGCAGTATAGAGATTTCCTGATGCTCTAGGACGCCTAGTCAAGGACTCCCTGCTGCCACACTGACACGATAATCCTCTGGGACCAGGGCAAGGAAATGTTAAGAGCACGGAACGACACTCGGTCCCTTTAAATTCGATGAGTCCCGCCCATATGTCTCCGCCTCATCTAGAGAATGCTCCACCCTCCCATCCACAAGTGACTCCGACGGGAAGACAGTGGGGGCGAGGACGCAAGAGCGGCGGCACAACGGCACATGAGCAGTGAAATCCTCAGGGGGGCTGAGGCGCCTTCAGCCCATTACCAGGAGAAGGTGCGCATGCGCTACAGTACTTATTGGCTTCTGCGGAAGCCATGCCCCGCCCTCGAATCTTAAAGAGCTAGAAGCAGCTTCGGTTCTCAGGCTCTTTACTGGGCAGGAGTGCGCAGGCGCAGTGGGGAATTCTTCAGTCGGAAATAGTCGTCGCGTATTAAGTTGCTGCTCTGTGTCCCAGCAGAGGAAGCTAGAGTGCCGATCGTCCGATCAGCAATTTGCGCCTTACTAGATCCACTGGACGAGAAAAGTTTGTGAATAGGGAGTCCCGAGTTTTGGGAGACTCAGGCTTGCAGCGTAGGGGGACGGAGGAGGCTGGAGGGAGGTGAGTGAACCTCCCCGAGTCGCATTTTTTATTGATCCCTATTCGTTTTGGAGGACCCCGACCCAAATAACCACAGAGGGACACTAAGAGAAGTTTAGTGTTAGTATCTCACTATGCTGCTTTCTGACATGACCTCGTTTCTTCACCTTATTGAGGAGAAAACTGAGCTCAGTTTCGTCATAGCCCAGGTTTTCACTGCTTGTAAGTGAGGGGATTTGAACCCAGACTACTACCCGAACTCAGATTTTATTGCCTGGTGCAAGGGCCTGGGATTCTGGTGTTAATTTCTTGACAATAGCAATTATCCAAAACCTTAAGTTTCCCATTCTAACTATGCAAAGCTGAGTATACAGACCATGCCTAGTGTGTGTGTGCGCGCATATACATACATGCACTACATATCTATTTATCTATCTATCTATCTATCTAAAGAGATTTTCTTTTTGAGATAGGGTTTCTCTAACATAGCCCTGGCTGTCGTCGAATTTACTATGTAGACCAGGCTGGCCTCGAGCTCAAAGGGATCCCCCTTCTTCTCCCTCCTGAGTGCTGGGATTAAAGGTGTGCGCCACCGCGTCCAGCCTAACCAAGCCCCAGCCCCTAAGAAGAACTGATTTATTCCTGTATTGGGGGTGGGGGGCTTGCCATGGAGCGGACATGGAGGCCAGAGAACGTGGGTTCCTGGAATCAAATTTAGGGCGTCTGACTTGGTGTCAAGCTGAGCCACCTTGGGGACCCAAGAACTTTTGATAACTGTTGTCCTCTCTTCCTCCAGCTCCTACCATGGAGCCCACTCAGCTTTCAGATGACCTCATCCCAAACCAGCAGTCCCCTGCTCCTGAACTTGAGGATCCTGAGGACCCCAGAGACGAACCCCCAGACAGCTCAGACACTGTGGTCCTCAGTCTGTTCCCTTGCACCCCAGAGGCTGTGAATCCTGAATCAGCCAGTGCATCCTCATCACAGGGTGAGAACCATTCTGGGTTTTGGTGAGGGAGACTGGTGAGTTAAAGGTCAGCCTAGTCAGACAAGGTCACTTAGGGAGAATTGTGCTGGGGTAGGTAGAGAGCTAGCTGAGTTCTTTAGAGCACTTGATCTCTCAGAGGCTCTGGTTCAGTTCCCAGCATCCACAGATGGTTATACAGCCATGGTGACTCCACAGACTTCCTCTGGCCTTGGAGAACATCAGACACACACGTAGTACACATGCATTTATGCAGTCAAAACATACACATAAAATACACATAAACGAAAAGCTTTAATGAATTTTTAAATGTGTTGCTCTATGTGTGTGAATATTTTGCCTATGTGCATATGCGCCATGCACAGGCAGTGCCTGAGGGGCCAGAAGAGGGCGTCTGAATCTCTGGACCTGGAGTTGTAAATCCCCCCAGTGCAGATGGTACAGATCAAACCTGGGGCTCTTGAACCCCAGAGAGCCATTTCCACAGCATTTTTTTACATTTATTTATTTCATGTTTGTATGTACATGTGTGTGAACATGCCATGGCACACACATGGAGGATATAAGATCCTTTTCAGGATAATTCTCTCTTCTTACCTTGTGGGTCCTAGGGATGGAACTCAGGTCAACTCAACAACAGGCACCTTTATCAGCTGAGCCATCTTTCTGGCCTCCACATTATGTTCAAGACAGGTCTTTGCCTGAATCTGAAGCTCACTGACTGAGCTCTACCTGCCGGTCAGTGAGCTCTGGGACTCTGCCTGTCTTTGCCCTCCAATGCTTCCAAACAGCCATGGTTCACGCCTTTGATCCCAGTACCATAAAGGCAGAAGCAGGCAAATCTGTGAGCTTGAGGCCAACCTGGTCTACATAGTGAATTGTAGGTTGTGGGCCAGCCTTGGTTACATAGTAAATGTTTCAATTTTTTTTGTGTGTATTTTGTGTGTATATGTGAATATATAATATATAGTATACATAATTATATAATATAGTGTATAGGTGTATATGTAAATATATACACATGCATACACACACACACACACACACATATGTATATGAGAAAGAGACAGGGTCTCTCTATTTAGACTTCTGGCTGTCCTGAAACTTGTTGTAGAGACTAGGCTGGCCTCAAACACAGAGATCCACCTGCCTCTGCCTCCTGAGTACAGGGATCAAGTGCCTGCCGCACCACGCCTGGCCATTTTGCACATTTCTTTTTTTGTTTTGTTTTTTGAGGCAGGGTTTCTCTGTGGCTTTGGAGCCTGTCCTGAACTCACTCTGTAGACTGCCCTGGCCTCGAACTCACAGAGATCCACCAGTCCCGAGTGCTGGAATTAAAGGCGTGCGCCACCACTGCCCGGCTTGTACATTTCTTTAGTGTGGCAGAATACATACAACATTGACTATTTGGACACAATTTAGTTACCTTTGGCTCTTTTACCAGCCTGTGCCACCATCACTCCTGTCTGTTCCAGAGTACTGCCATCACTGCAGTAGAGGAGCTCGCCCTCCTGCTCCCCAGGCCAGGCAGCTCTGATTTGTCTCATCTCTGGTAATTGCCTTTTCACATCGTTCTGCTTGATAAATGCCCCTGAGATGGGCCAACATCTTGAACTCATGATTGACCCAAGTTGTGGTATGGGTCAGTTCTTCATTGCTCTTTATGATAGCATACAATCCCAGTAGGTGGGTGAACCACATTTTGTTGATCTGTTTATCTATGGGCAAACTTTTGGGTGTTTTCTTTTTTCTTTTTAAATTGTGTGTGTGTGCATACGCACACTGGTGCTGACAGAAACCAGAAGACATTACTGGAACTGGAGTTACAGGTGGCTGTGAGCTGTAGTGTGGGTGCTAGGAACTGAACTCCAGTTCTTTGCCAGAACCAGCACTCTCAGTTACTAAGCCAGTTCTCTGCCCCACCCAGTTTCCTTTGTGCTGTTGGGAATTGTATTGCTTTGAACACAGAGTTTTCTTTTGACCTTGGCTGTCTGAGTACTTTGGAGGTAGAAACAGAAAGATTTGAAATTCGGGTTATCCTCAGCTACAGAGAACCTAGGCTACATAAGACCTTATCTCAAAAGCCAGGAAGGCACCCACAGAGATGAATGGGTCAGGTAATACGACTCTGCAAACACAGGGGCCTGAGTTCAATTCCATGCAGCCAGAGAGAAAGCAGTGTAGTGAAACACACTTGCAGTTCCATCACTGAGGAGGTGGAGACAGGAAGGTCCCAGGACCCGATGGACAGCAAGCCTAGCCCAAATGGTGAGCCCCAAGCCTGGCTCAAAAGGCAAGGTGGACAGCTTCTGAGGAGTACACCTGAGGTTGCCTTGTTGTCTCCCCTCTTAACCCCCTCCCCCACAGAGTTGGTCCCTCTCTCTCTCTTCCTCTATTTCCTTACTTGGATGTCCTGAGCCCAGGCTTCCTAGTAGTCCTTAAACACATCTAATTTGATGTCACACCAGGACCTGTGTCCTTCCCAGTGCTTGCTGGGATTCAGGGAATCATCTGAGAGTCACCTGCTCTAACCGTCCTGTCAGAACAGACTTGCTGCCTGTCCTGTCTTCCTACCACCTTCTGCCTGCTTTTTTTCTTTTCTTCTTTCTTTTTGTGGCAGGATCTCACTGTGTAGCCCAGGATGGCCTCAAACGTATGCTTTCTCTCTTGCCTCTACCTCCTCAGGATTGGAGTTATGGGTGTGCACCCCTCAAATCTATTTGTTTTATGGTTTTATGGTCTTTCCTTCTTTCTCCCCCTCTCTGTTTTTTTTGTTTTGTTTTGTTTTGTTTTGGGGTTTTTTGAGACAGGGTTTCTATGTGTAGCCTTGGTTATCCTGGAACTCACTCTGTAGAGGCCCATGCTAGCCTCAAACTCACAGAGATCTACCTGCATCTGCCTCGGAGTGCTGGGATCAAAAGGCGTATGCTGCCACTGCCCAGCCTCCTTCTGTTTCTTTAACATAGGGTTTTACTCTATAGTCCCAACTGACCTGGAATTCACTATATAGCCCAAGCTGACCTGGGACTTGCGATTGTGCCCCGCCTCCTGAATAGCTGGGAAAGCCGGCCTGTACCACTTAGGCCTTGCTCCTTTAAAAAGGTGATTGTATTTACCATTGGCATCTGTGTGGATGTGGACATGCACATGGTAAGCACAGGGGTGGCCTCTTTAAGAGTAGAGCCTGCAGCATATGTCTGGACACCCTGAGACAAGCACCTCCTCTCCCTGCAGGCAGCTTCTTGAAGCACTCAACAACCCTTACAAACCGGCAGCGTGGGAATGAAGTCTCAGCTCTGCCAGCCACCCTGGATTGTGAGTAGAACTCAAGGAGGGGTGGGGCGGGGCTAAAGGATTCCTTACAAACTTGGCGTGGAACCCCACGGCCCAGCATTTTGGAGGTGGAGGCAGGTGGTCAGAAGTTCAAGGTCTTCCCTGGCTACTTACGAGTTGGAGGCTGACATACACAAAGACATGTACAAAACTCTCCAGCATGTACAAAACTCTGAGTTCATCTCAAGCTCCTCGTAAACAGAATAGCAGCACATACCCATCACCCAGTGCGCAGGAGGATCAGCAGTTCCTGGTCATTCTCAGCTACATAGCAAGTTGCAGGCCAGCCTGGGCTACATGAGACCCTCTCTCAAAAACAAACAAACAAAAATATGGGATCAGTTTTGAACAGGGTAAACTGAGGCGTGGGAGGGGGTAGAATGGGTGAGCATTGTCCGTCCACCAGCTTGAACAGGGTAAACTGAGGCCTGGGGAGGGGTAGAATGGGTGGGCACTGTCCGTCCACCACTTGAACAGGGTAAACTGAGGCCTGGGGAGGGGTAGAATGGGTGAGCACTGTGCTTGTCTCTGGCCCCAGCACTGTCCGTCCACCAGCTTGCAGCACAAGGGGAACTGAGCCAACTGAAGGACCATCTCCGGAAGGGTGCGTGTCCTGTGTGTGCTGGCGTGCACATGCCTGTTTGGTAGGGAAACTTCTGTGTGAGTGATTTGTGTGTTCGTGTATGTTCTGTATATGTTCTCCTTCATGTGACCCCCGAACCCTGCCCACTCTACTCAGGAGAGCAGGCAATCTTACCATCCCCCATCCCATATCCCTTCCCATATCAGGTGACAACCTGATCAACAAACCAGATGAACATGGCTTCACTCCCCTCATCTGGGCCTCAGCCTTTGGAGAAATTGAGACAGTTCGCTTCCTGCTAGATTGGGTATGTCCTGGGGGTGCAAGGACAGACTGGGGTTTCAGCTTCTGAAGCTGCTGCCTTTGAGATAGGCTGCCCTCCTTGGAGAACCTGAGATTTCAGGGACTCAATCACTACCTTTTCTGCTTTCGTAGGGTGCTGACCCCCACATCCTGGCCAAGGAGAGGGAGAGTGCCCTGTCGCTTGCCAGCATGGGTGGCTACACGGACATTGTGAGGTTGTTGCTTGATCGTGACGTGGACATCAACATCTATGACTGGGTGAGGCACTGGCAGCTGGGATCTATCATCGCCCCCTGGCTTCCGTTCCTGCTCACGGATGAGCCCCTGTGAGATGCTCTGCCTGCCCTGGGTTCTGGGAACATGGGACAACTCTCACCACACCTGATAGAGCTCCCAGTGTCTGGGAGACAGATGCACAAAGAGGATAGTAGAGCCTTAACAGGAGGCTGGCCAGCAGCTGCAAGAGCCCCAAAGCAGCTGAGAAAGTCAGGGAGGGCTGTTGGGAAGAATGGGCATCTAATAGACACAGACAGGAAGTGGGCTGCATGGGCAGCCAGAGGGCCGGGCAGAGCTAGTGTTGGTTCTCACCTAGTCCTATCCCACAGAATGGAGGGACGCCACTACTCTACGCGGTGCGTGGGAACCATGTGAAGTGTGTAGAGGCCTTGCTGGGTGAGTAGGAGACCCCTTAGGAGCCCTGGAGTCCTAGGGTAGACAAGAGAAGGCAAATGATGTGCAGCTTCTGTGTTGGATCTAGTCAGCCATGTACCCCCTCCCATGCCCCAGAGACTCCAAGTCCTGTTCTTTGGGTAGAGAAGCACGTTGGTCTTGCCACTGCCCGAGGTCACATGGACAAAGAGCATACTGCAGAGCATGGTGGGGCACCTCAGTCCTGCAGTCCCCAAGCCCTGTGCCCAATGCCTGTTCTGCTTTGCAGCCCGGGGTGCTGACCTCACCACAGAGGCCGACTCTGGCTACACCCCAATGGACCTCGCAGTGGCCCTGGGATTCCGCAAAGGTGGGCTTGAATACTGGGGTGGGCTGAGGGCCCATGTGTGGGATGGCCACAGAGGGGTAAATAGGACACTCCCTGAGGCTGCCAGGTGGTGCCCCTTAGCACCTCAGGCAGGCCCAGTGGCTCTTGGCTTTTTGGGCTGTGCTAGGGACATCAGCTCATGATAAGGATGGAAGCCACTCTACGGTACACACAAGACACTCGGAGATGCTAATAGCCCCAGTGTAAGTGTAGATCTTAGTTCTCCCTGCCAGACACACCCTGCCTTGTGGTACTGGGGAGGGGCACTTTGCTGAGGCCACCCCAAACTTCTATTTCTGTTGCTATAACAGAATACAAGAGATAGGGGTTTTGTTTTTTTAAGTTTTATTTGGATTTATGGTTCTGAAGGCTGGGAAAGCTACAGTTGTGTGGTCACACTGGCTGAGGGTCTGGTATTGCTCTGACTCAGTGGATAGCAGGGCAGTGGAGAACAGGCCTCTTCTTAAAACAGCCCCAAGGTAGCTGCACCCCCCCCCCCTGCTGGAACGGTGAAGGGTCACCTCCTGGTGGCTACACTCCTGCTCACAAGGCCTCCAGCCCTGTCTCCTGCTCACCCTGCTCCCACCTCCTCCCACAGTGCAGCCCTGTCTCCTGCTCACAAGGCCTCCAGCCCTGTCTCCTGCTCACCCTGCTCCCACTCCTCCCACAGTGCAGCCCTGTCTCCTGCTCACACCTGCTCCCACCTCCTCCCACAGTGCAACAGGTGATGGAGAGCCACATCCTCAGACTGTTCCAGAGCGCTCTGAGGCCTGCGGACCCAGAGTGAAGATGGCTGCCCACAACTGGCTTGAGGCAGCTCCGGACAGTGGTGGGAAGGTATCCTCCCCAACAGGAACCAATAAATCTGTGCAGAAGTTGAAGGGCTTCTGATGCCTCCCAGGGGTCTTCCTGGAGGTGGCGCCAATAGCTTTCACAGTACTTTTTCACCCAGCACCCGCAGGTGGTAGATGACCACACGACCAAAAAAGTCTGTGGTGTCCTCAAAGGTCAGCTTCAGTCGGTCCACCTCCACAGTAGGAATGGAGAAGGTGTGGCCTCTTGTGGTCAAGGAAATGGTGACTGTTTCTGACCCAACAGGCCCCACCTTCCCAGTTCAGACACCACCCCTTGCCCCCACCACACACATGGTTTCTCTGTTAACAGCCCTAGCTGTCCTGGAACTAGCTCTGTGACCAGGCTGGCCTTGAACTCAGAGATCCACCTGTCTCTGCCTCCAAGTACTGGGATTAAAGGCATGTGCCACCACTGCCTAGCATCCCCTGCCTTTTTTTGGACACTGGTTCCTAGGTAGCCTGGGCTGGCCTCAAACTCGCTGTAGCAGAGGATGACTTTGCACTCCTGACTCTCCTGCTTTTACCTGCAGAGCACTAAAGTTCCTTGCAATGGCTCCTGCTCATATGTAGGAGGCACAGTATGGTTATGTGACAGGCTGGGCCCAGTGCTTGCACCACCACACCATACATGCATACTACACCAACGCTTTCAGAAGACGAGGTCCCTCACACCCCAGACCAAGCAGGATATTTGAAGGGCGTTGGTGTCCTCAGGGTAGAAGTCCACAATCTTACTGAGGGTGTCCCCACCCTGTGAACCTGCAGTGCAGAAAGAGGCTGAGAATCCAGAGAACCCTTTGACCCCCACCTCTTGCGACCTTCCAGTACCTTCCAGGCAGCTGTGGCGACTGGAGAAGCCGCCCTGGAACTGCACCTGCAGCTGTGTGATGTGAACACGATGGGGAAACTCGAGTGTCACCCACTGGGAGGGGCCCTGGAAGCAGATGAGTAACTGCAGGGTCAAGTTCCACGGCTACAGCCTGGCCAGGAGAGTGTACGCACGCAGTCCTTTCTAGGTCTCCCCAAAATTCTCAAGGCACCCTGCCCGCAGAATCTGTTTCACACTTGTGATGGAGGGACGTGGAAGCGCCTCACCTGGTCGGAGTTCCAGCATGTTTCCTCATCCTCGTCAAAAAGATATTTCTTCCCAAATTGCCGGCTATTGCGATTAAGCACAGAACTCACCCTGCGGGGCAGGAGCAAGGCTAGGCCACTGGCTTTCACCGGAGCCACCCTCCAGGCCAGCCAGGGACGCGGCCGCCTGGCTCCACCCTCAGCCTGCCCCTAACCGACACCAGATCGGGACTCCCAGCTATCTCCCACCTGGCCTTTGTCCACCACGACTCAGCTCCCAGTTCATCTGCCCCCTCCCAGAGTTCCACAGACTCTGAGCCTCACCTGCTCACGGTCTCGGGGCAAATCAAAGACTGGCTCATCGCGAGTTTGAACCCAGGCGCAGTCACTCCCCACTTGACCCAGCCGCCGGTCCTCCCCGATCACCTCTACATGACACGGCGGGCGACCAGGGAACCGGAGAGAAACAGAAGCAGCTTCCTAAATTTTATAGCCTCGCCCGAGACCGTCTGCAGTAGTGCGAACCGAACACCAAGACCCGGAAACGCGTGCGAACGGCGCACGCGCAGCGCAGTACAGACCCCGCCTCATCCGCTGGGCCGGGCCGGGATTTGTAGTGTTTTTTGCTTTGCCTCTTAAAGAAGCCGCACCCTGAAGTTTCTGATTCCTTGGCGCTGGAGGGAAAATGCAAACCGTGTCCTTCGCATTAACAAACAGTTCTCATAGCCTTCCTGTTACCGTGTCTTCTGCGGAGGGCCTCCCTCGCCGCAGAGGCCATGCAGCTTTCCTCAGCAGGGCTTAGTGGGCTCCTGCAGTCCCTCTGGAGGCTGCTTGACAGGATTGCATGTTTCACGCCAACACGAAAATTTTAGCAAGCTCTGTCTCAAAAAAAAAAAAAAAAAAAAAAAAATTAACACACACACACACACACGTGAGAGAGAGATAATATATATAATGTATATCCTTAATTTATTTTGTGTGTATGAGTGTTCTGTCTGCATGTATGTCCCTGTATCACATGTTTGCTTGGTGGTTGAGTGAGACTCCATTTGAGTGCTGAGGCTCGAACCCAACTGAATCAACTCTTAAGCCCTTAAATATGCTTTTTTGAGACAGGGTCTTCTTGTGTAAAGTTGCCTGCTTGGAACTTGCTATTCAGATAATGATCGCATAAAACACCCTCCCAGAAATCTTCCTCTGCCTCTTGAGCCCTGGGATTAAAGGTGTGCACCACCACACTCCTCTCTGGTATTTAAATTTTGTTGTTTTGTTTTGCTTTTGTTTTTCAAGACTGAGTTTCTCTGTAGCTTTGGAGGCTGTCTAGCTCTGTAGACCAGGCTGGCCTTGAACTCACAGAGATCTGCCTGCCTCCCAAGTGCTGGAATGAAATGTGTGTGCCTGTGCCACCACTGCCCGGTTTAAGCATATTTCTTAATTAAAAACATTTTATTGCTATTACTGGGTGGCAATAGTGCACGCCTTTCTTCCCAGCACTTGGGAGGCAGAGGCAGGCAGATCTTAGAGTTTGAGATCAGCCAGGTCTACAGAGTGAGTTCCAGGAAAGCCAGGACTACACAGAGAAACCGTCTCCAAAAACAAAACAAATAAATAAAAAGAAATTTTATTTAATGTATATTAAGTTTTTTCTTGAATGTTTGTCTACCATAGATGTCTGGTACTGTTAGGAATTGGTTTTCTCCTTACCCTGGGCCCTTGGGACTGAGCTTGAGTCGCTGGGCTCCACTGAGGGGATAGTTCAACCGCGGCGGAAGGGCCAGGAAGTGCATTGAGCTTCCCTGAGTCAGCCTCTTCGCCAAAGGAATTAAATCTCTCAGCAAATGCTGTCCTAATACCTTGTGGAAGATTTGTTCAAAGAGCCAGCATGAGGTGGGTTTTTTGTTTTGTTTTTGTTTTTTGAGACAGGATTTCACCATAGTTTTAGAGCCTGTCCTGGAACTAACTCTTGTAGACCAGGCTGGCCTAGAACTCACAGAGATCCATCTGTCTCTGCCTCCCGAGTGCTGGGATTAAAGGCGTGCGCCACCACCGCCCAGCATGAGGTAGGTTTTATAAAATGAACAGGAGTTTGTCCCAATGGGGACACAACCAAACCAAACACAGACACCCAAACCTCATGGTTTCAGGGATGAGCCACAGGGACAAACAATCTGAGGAAGCAGGGACCCTTCCTGATGGAAGGGCTTTCTGGGAGGGACCATGTGGTGGGAAAGAGTTTCAGGCCAGGATTAGAAAAGTAAAAGCATAGAATCAGGTGACAGACCCATGGAGCCACTTCCCACTGGGTAGAACAGCTCTGGGGAGAGAGTGGAACCCCCACCTCTCTGAATGAATGTTCCCAAGTCAGAGCTGTCCCTGGGGTTGAATGGTCTCTAATCTTTCCTCTTTCTACTAGGGCCAGAAGGATTTCTGGGCATCCACTAGTGTCTCCCCAAGTCCACCCCAGGAAGCAAGGCTGGCAGAGGAACTGGGTCACCATCAGGAGGGCTGCCATGCTAGCTTGTAACTGCTAGAACTTCCTTGCCAGGACTTCAGTTTTGGGTCCTGGCCATCCAGACCCAGCTTAGCCCTCCAAGCTCTATGGAGGAAGCATGTGTAGTTAAAAGTTTGGCTGTGTAATCTCAGACAAACATTTGACCTCTGAACTCAGCTTCCTGTCTGTGAAAAGCAGGCTGTTTGGGTTGACACCTAGCAACAATAACATGAGACACTGGAGCTCATAGACAAGGTCTGTCTTCAGGGACAGACTCATCGTTACCCTCCACATGACTGCCTGGTGTCACTTCTGAATACAAAAACGTGTCCCCAGTGCCAGAAGAGACTACATACAGGCCCAGCCTTCCTTGATCACTTCTGGGCCTGGCATGAAGCTGCCTGGGCCCCTGGGACTTGGCCAGCTCCCTACCCTCTTCCTGTCTCCTCACTCCACTGGCGCCTGGGCATGAAAGAACCTCCTGTTTCACCAGGGAATTAGTAGTTCTGAGTTCCCAGCGAGGCAGCCAACATGGTCCATTCATCCGCCTAAGTTAGGGAGCCTGAGCTCTGCCTCCTTCCCACCACTCTCCAGGCTCTGAGGCAGGGCGGGTGCCATAGGGACTGGATCTGTCTAGGCATTCTCTCTATCACCATTAATTTTCCTGTTTGTTTCGAGACAGGGTCTCACTATGTAACTCTGCCTGTCCTGTAACTTACTCTGTACACCAAGCTGGCTTAGAACTCTCAGAGGTCTGCCTGCCTCTGCCTCCCAAGTGTTTGGATTAAAGACATGCACCAATATGCCTGGGTTTCCTTGTGTGTGTGTGTGTGTGTGTGTGTGTGTGTGTGTGTGTGTAAGTCAGGGTTGCTGGGCTCAAATTCATTATGCAGTCAAGAATACTCTTAAACTCCTAGTCCTTCCCAGGTGGCTGGTGGCATTGTGTGTGACTGTACACATAGGACCTTGGCTGTATTCCTGGACAATTAGAGGGATTGCCCCAAGACCTGACTGTCCAGGAGCTTCTTGCCACTCATGTGGCCTCTGGGCCACTTATCTGTCCTTCACCTCACCCCCTGATGGCAGCCCCAGAGTGCCTGAGACAGAAAGGCCTTCCAGACTGGAGTGGGGACTCTCTGGACCCCAGAGTGGGCCTATAAATAGCTCTTTGAGTCTTTCAGATTCCCAGGCCAGGTTCCCTCGCTCAAAGCCCCAGCAACAGCAGGTCTGGGCCCCGGGCCAGTCCCTCTCTTTTCAGTCCTGGCAGCAGCCCAGGGATGGAGTTGGTGAGGAGCCGAAGGGTCAGCTTGGCTCTGGGGCTACAGACCAGATCCATGTAACTTCAGTGAGGGCATCCCAATGATGCCCTGATTCCCTGATGATGCTCAATGATTCCCTGAGCCTGTTTCCCCCAACAAACTCCAAAATGAGAAGCAACAAGATGGTAGCCCTGCTGGGTATGGTGAAGTATATCTCATCCCAGCACTCAGGTGCTGGAGGCAGGAGAAGCAGGGACCAAAGTCATCCTTAGCTGCTTAATGAGCTGCAGGTCAGCAATACAAAACAGTAACACATACACACAATATACATATACACACATGCATGCACGCATGCACGCGTGCATACATACACACACTTCCTATTTCCTTCTAGCAATCCGTGGAGAGTACTCATGCTCTCTTCTGAGATGAGTGAACTGAGGGGAAGTAGGGCTGAGACGGCCACTTCAGAGTTGCAGCATTAGAAGTGGTAAAGACAGCAGATCCTTTCCCTCAATCATTCATTCTGTATATCTTTTTTGTTTATTTGCTCATTTGTTTGTTTTGGTTTCTGAAACAGGGTTTCTCTGTGTAGCCCTGACTGTCTTGGAACTCACGCTGTACACCAGGCTGGCCTCGAACTCAGAGATTCACTTGTCTCTGCCTCCCAAGTGCTGGTATTAAAGGTGTATGTCACCACACCCAGCCAGTACATCTTTTTTTTTAATCAGTCAGTAGCATCTTCTGCTGCCACCACCCCATTGTTATTACTAATGTTATAAGCTAAAGGAACTGAGAAAGCTGTTACTTTGTGTCAAGAATTTATTCCTACTTTCCATTCCTGTTCCAGACTATAATCTAATTTAGCATTTCATAGTTTGCATTTAGTATATCTTTTTATTGCCTATATTTATTTGTGGTTTTGTGGCCGGGGGTTGCACTCAAATACTATGTGGAGGTCAGAAAATAACTTGCAGGAATCTGTTGTGGAAAATTGTTTTTACTAGGTAAATATTTATTACATTTGTTTATGCTGCAGAGTATTTAACTATATAGAGGTGTGGTATATTTGTTTGTGCTGCATTTTTTGACTCTTTTTGATATTTATTGAGCTGTACATTTTTCTCTGCTCCACTCCCTGTCTCTCCACTCCCCCCTTCAATCCCCATGCTCCCAATTTACTCAGGAGATCTTGTCTTTTTCTACTTTCTTCTTCCCATGTAGATTAGATCTATGTATGTCTCTCTTAGTGTCCACATTGTTGTCTAAGTTCTCTGGGATTGTGGTTTGTAGGCTGACTTTCTTTGCTTTATGTTTAATAACCACCTATGAGTGAGTACATGTAACAATTGTCTTTCTGTGTCTGGGTTACCTCACTCAAAATAATGTTTTCTAGCTCCATCCATTTTCCTGCAAAATTCAAGCTGTCATTATTTTTTTCTGCTGTGTAGTACTCCATTGTGTAAATGTGCCACATTTTTCTTATCCATTCTTCGATCGAGGGGTATTTAGATTGTTTCCAGGTTCTGGCTATGGCAAAAAAGCTGCTATGAACATTGCTGAGCACATGTCCTTGTGGCACAATTAAGCTTCCTTTGGATATATACCCAAAAGTAGTATTACTGGTTCTTGAGGAAGGTTGTTTCCTAATTTTCTGAGAAATCACCACACTGACATCCAAAGGGGTTGAACCAGCTTGCATTCCCACCAGCAATGCAGAAGTGTTCCCTTTTCCCCATAACCTCTCCAGCATAAGTTGTCATCAGTGTTTTTGATCTTGGCCATTCTTACAGGTGTAAGATGGAATCTCAGAGGTGTTTTGATTTGCATTTCTCTGATGACTAAGGCTGTTGAACATTTCCTTAAGTGTCTTTCAGCCATTTTAGATTCCTCTGTTGAGAGTTCTCTGGTTTCTTTTTTTATTGGATTAT